CAACGTCGGGCCCTTGACGGGATTCGAACCCACGACCTTACGGTTGCGAGTCCGAGAGCCTAACCACTAGGCCACCGACGCCACAATACTAAACAGTGATGATTTTTCTTAACTCACGGTGAGCCACAGCAGTTTGAGAAGAGTTGCCTTTGTTTTCCATCTCTTTGTTCTTAGTTAAATTCTTGTTGATGGTGGGGACGAAGCCGATTCACCTCCAAATTTCCTCTAATTAGTTTTCATGTGATGACAAAGTTGCCTTAATAGTATTTTGACCTGATTTATAACTGTTAAATCTCAGCGGCACAAACACAAACATTCACACACAGCACTTTTCAGACACAATACTGCTATGAGCTGGATTAGGCCGTGTAGTCGAGAAAGTTGAACACATCCAACAAAGAACCAATGAGCGCATAGGTATCTGTGTCAGTGGGGTAAAGTGTGTCGTAAACTTTCACCCCATTGTCAGGGCTAGGAGAGCGTGAGCCCTCGGTACAGTGTTATTTTTCCAGAGTCTTCTACCTTTTTACAAGAAGAGTTTCATTAAGGACGGGCTGTGGAACAAGGGCTCATCTTCGCTGAGCCCTAACGACATTTGATTGGCTGCTGGGTTACTATAGTTGTAAGCGGTGACAACAGTGATTGGATATAAGCGAGCAAGCCGCCTAGTTGATCACTCTATGTTCATTGCGTGCGGTCATAACGGTTTGAACTGCTTATTTCATTATGGAGAAACTTTCTTTTACTTTGGGATAGAGTTGTGGGTGGGGAGGGGGCAGGGGCTCAAGCCCGTGAGCCCTTCACTACCCACCGCCACTGGGCAGTTTACCATTTCATCTTGCACACAGGAGACCCTAGTGGGGAGAATTTTTTTTTGAGTATCTGTCTTTTTGTTTGACTGTTGTATCCCTCTCATCTCAGCCTGGGTTGGCCCTGAAAGGCAGGAGTGGGTGGTTGGCGGGTGCTCTGGTGTGGTTTGCTTCTTCTTTCCTATCAAACATCTATCGTCCTTATCTCCCCTCCTTCTTTTTTATGTTTGTTACTCTCTTGTAACACCTCTAATCTTCTGGCGCTCGTATGACCTTATGCAGTTATGAGTGCCGTGAAACCTCTACTAAAACTAAACTTAAGTAAAAAAAATTTAACAAAAAAATTTTTTAAAGTGAAAGGCAGGATCGAAGTCCATGATGGAAAGAGTCGAAGACCACCTCCTGTTTGGTCTAAATTGTGTTGATGAAGGTGTAAAAACAAGGAAGAAAATGTTTAAGAATCGTGTTTCTGTGGTTAGTGGGCTCTCTGGTGTGGTCTTTTACTTTAGCTTCTCTCAGTGTTCTTCATTACTTTTGTCTGGTTCTTCTAAGGAGAGAGAATTGACGTCTGTGGTGTAGCCATTAATTTTCACTGTCATGCGCAGGAGACCCGAGTTCGATTCGCAAGTGGGGAAGTATTTTATCTTGTATCTCAGTCTTTCTGCTGAACATGTGTATTCTTCTCAGCCCGAGTTGGCCTTGACAGGCAGGGTTGGAAGCCCGCCTCCTAAATTGTCAAAATTGTGTCGATGGGAGCATAATATTAAACAATTTAACATCCATATTGAAACCATTTTTTAAAAAAGGAGGGATAGTTACTGGTCAAGTCCTGTTTCACTCAGTCACTGTGATGGTAATGACCTGAAGTTAAATCCTGCTGTACTTGAGTTGTACAATCAGTTTTGAAGGCTAACTACCCTCTGGGCTGTGTCCAAAAGATCCAACCCTGACGTGTCAAAAGGCGTTGCACTAATTATGCTAATTCCACACTGAATCATAATGTCTTGCTCTTGACATCGTTACTCACATGTCAGCCAACTCGATGAATGATCACCAAAGAGCTACTTTTTGGTGAATGGAGACTAACTTTCTTACCGGTACCACAAGTTGTATAAGTGACAGATATGAAATGTGTTGAAGTTGAAGAGAGGCGATATACAGAGATGAATGCGTCCCTCTTGGCAGCAACAGAGAAACATACGGACAGACTTTAGAAATAATGTCTAAAGCTACACTGCTACTTCTAGTCCGTTGGGAGCAACTCTGGAGCGAAAAAGAGAATAGTAAACTCCACAACGTTTTGCCGAAATTGGGCACACAAAACCTTCGGGTGTCTTAAGAAGAAACAAAGTTATTTTAACCAGATTGCTCACTGGACATACCTGACTGACCCACAGGTATCTCCTGCAGGGAGAAGAAAAACCATTAATTAGTGTCGGTCGGATGGGAACTTTACAATCAGACATCCTAACCGAATATCCGGACTTTAGAAAGACCCGAAAAAAATGTATTTAAAATGTACTTTGCGCTCATTTAAAAAAAAATTGTTCTTCATTGTTGATCTCAGTAGAATTTCCGATTTGATGGGGACCGTTGGTCTTTTCTCAAAAATGTAAAAATACATGTACTGTAGTCTGAGCCCACAGATTTATTACAATACAAAATTCACCCCTAAGATCCTACTCTGAAGGTCAATATTCGTTTAAGATCCCGCATTTCATATCATAATTTACCGAACAACAACCCGGGCGGGTACAGCCGATCAACCAAAAGTGAAAATCTGTGATAAAATTGAAATACCCATTGTGTCACAGATCAACCAATCTCGTGTCGGGTATGTAATCACATCTGCGTTGTATGTAAGTCTCGATGAAAAGGTACAATGCTTGCCTCAGACGGGATCACACCGAGGCGTGAACTCACGGACGCGTTTGTTTCCCTAAACTTCGCACTTGCTTCTGAGCTCTCTACCTAAACTTATATCACACGCTGGGTGGGTAGTGGGTAGGGCCTATTGTTCGAGGCGGGATCACATCGAACTGTGAACTCTTCCCCGACCATTGCAACAGTTGTCTCTGCTCTACTCCCGAATTTGCGAGACTGACTGGATTTTAATTGGTGTGGTCACAACGTAAAGGTGCGTAACGACAAAGGCGGGGGAACTAGGTAGAGTCAGAGATGGAAAGCTATCATGAACAAATTACTAAATTGTCATGTATTGTCCCCCTGAAAGCTGTAAATTTTGGACATGTGAAGGGGATGGGCAAATGGATAAGTGTAGATATCTTGAGACTCACGATATGATAATAAGTGAAAATAGCATGCCTTATTCCTCAGTGATTGGTCATCCAGGTTGGCCACTGTTTGCTCCTCGTATGTCATAAACCCACCCAGGGGTCACGTTAGTTCATTTTAGAGTGAAGGGAGACCATGTTGTTTGCCTGAACCTGAGTCACCATGGATTCTTCACTTGGTGCGTCGGCTAAGATCCCGCATTTTCCTTGCTCCCGAGCACCGGGATCTCAGGAGCTGACTACTGTAGTACCGTTTTAAAAAAAATGTAAATAACCAAATGACTGTTTTTATTTTGAAATGTTTACTGTGTAATTGTAGATACTTCAACCGTTCTGACTTGCAACGTAAAACCAAGACATGCAGCGTTCTCATTTTGCTTCTTTTTAGACTTTGCCGACAATTTTTTGGTCATAGTCTTTGAGTCTGGCTGGTGCTCTGGTGTGGTTTGCTCCTTCTTTCCTATCTATATAATCAAACATATATCATCCTGATCTTTCCTTCTTTTTTATGTTTATTACTCTTGTAGAGGGTGCGGTGGCGGAGAGGTTAGTGCGCTCGTCTCCGAAGCGGAAAGTCCGGGTTCGAGCCTCGTTTCGGACACGGATTTTTTTCACCCCCTCCTGCCTACCCAACAGTAATGGGTACCTGACTTCGAGTTGGGGAAGTAAAGGCGTCGTGGAAAGGAACTGGCCACCCTACCACACTATGTCGAAGGCCCAGGAAGTTGTCTTACTTACAAGGCATTCCCCAATGTCCGGATCGCATGCGGGAACAACTTTATTGTAACATCTCTAAACTTCGGCACTTATATGACCTTATTGTGTTGTAAGTGCCGCAAAACCTTTAGTAAAACTACAGTGTTGTTTCCTCTTAAAGAAGGCAGTTTCAGAGGCCTTCCGGTGGATGGAAAGTACATGTACCGGTACCGGTAGTCAACATATTGTCTCTATACTCTATGTGTGCATGTACGTTACAGCACCGTGCGAGTCTATGCGTGTGTATCACATTTACGTGATTCATTTTCTGTGTGAGATTATTCTGTTTATTGAACCATAGAGACGACCATCGGTGTCAATAACCGGGCCTGGAAGCTGGCTTTAATAAATCCCCATCAACACCACACCTTCAGATCCCATTTTGTTGAGTGCGTAATGACGAAAGCGCATACAAAGGAAAGGGAGCGAAGCGATCTTTAGAATTGCTGATGAATATAAATCTTGATCGTTTCCCTTGGTATGTTTCAAGTTTGAGAAATTGAATTATTACAAGTAAGCTTTTCTTTCTATATTATAAATACTTTTTAAAAATGTCAGCAAGTTCACTCTTTTTGGCCAGCGCCCCCCCCCCCCCCCCCTTATTCCACGGAATATTGATATTCTCTCTACATTTATGAGAACTACGATATTTTGGGTTTTTAGAAGAAGCAAGCATCACCTT